AATAGATGAAGAAGGGGTTCGAGTGGCAGGCAGTACTGGTTTACGTGATACAAGTAGCAAGATTAATCTTGATTATCCTGACCTAACCTGGAGTAGTTAAAAGGAGTTACTTCCCGCAACAGTACTTTGAGAAAACCAGGCATGACATTTTGGAGGTGCATTAGGAAAAACACTGCATCTAACAAAATACAGGAGTCTAAGCGAGTCTGAGCGAACACCACGCCAGAGGTTCAGACAGAACACAAACAAACATATAAAGTAGATTACAGGTGAGCTAATACAGTAACTAAGGCACCTCCAACTATATAAAAAATATATATATATTACTATAGACATGACTGATATAAGATAGATATATGAAAAAAAATTGATACAAGGCAATATATAAATTATACTGAAAGATAATTTTGTGGTAACAATAAACATTATTAGATAAAAAAATTATTAAATGATCATTGGGTGCAAGTTGTCACTTTGTATAATAAAGTTTAAAAACTTCATCCGAAAACAGGTCCAAAGTTGAAAGTCCAAAGTTTTTACAAATATGCAACATGATTTGTTACGTCAATCGTGTTTAGTGTTTCTGTACAAGTTGCCTGTGGTTATGTTTATAAAGCTGACCATTTATGCACAACAAGAACCGAAGTTGACCACCTAATGTATATACAATCAAAAATACAATCAAAACCAGAACGGTTTGATTCTATTCACTTTTTTGACTGGTTTGTTATTGTTTTTTATCAAATTGTAGGAGCATTCCTATTAGTTAAATCAAAATAATTTTTACAGTGAAAAAGTACTTGAATTCACTAAAGAAAATAGTATCTTGTTGAGAAAGAAACAGTATCTTGTTCTATAACTGGTAACTCTACCCATTTATTGCAATCTCTTAATGTTGCATTTTATTGATCTCTTAAAAAATATTTTAAGATAATACTTGATCAATTGGAAACATTTTGTTTAAAAAATGCACAGAATATTACAAAAAATAAATCTTCTTTGTTCTTTATTTACTTATAATCATTATATTTGTTAAATCAAAAGGTAATCAACAACTTAGTTGCTTAGTGGTTTTGAAAAAAATATGGGAGTTACTCATTAGATCTAAGTATCATCTTCAATCGTTGGCCAGATAGTTATAGCTTTAGTTCGCCGAGCAGTAATTAATGTACTTTAACAATTTTTTCATATTGATGTAAAGGAAAAAGCAGACTAAAAGGGGAAAAAAAAATTACTTTTGATCTTGTTAAAAATAATTATTTTGAGGGTTTTTGGCAAAATCTAAAGATGTTCCACTTGCAAAGTCTTTAAGTGAAACTGATGACTAGCTTCTTGTTAAATGCTCTACCGCGGTGCTCTATGATAAGACCGTAAGGACTTCTGGGAGCACCTAAATACATACAAAAAAAAAAAAAAAAAAATTTGCGAAGAAAAAAAACAAAATAAACAGCTAAATTTGTAAAAATGAGCAGCCGCGGCGCAGTGGTAGCGCACTTGCCTCAGAAACAAAGGATCCCTGGTTCCAAACCCCACCTCTGGGCAAGTTTGCAACACTGGTAATGAAGTAGGCAAGAACTTCCAAATAAATGCTCATCCGCGGTGTTCTGTGATAAGACTGTAAGGACTTCTTGGGGCATCTAAATTTTAAAAAAAAAGTTTAAAAAATAAAAAAATTAAAATTTAAATTTAACAAAGATATTCAAGAAGGCAAGCATTGTTAAAAGTTTACCAATTATGAAGTAAAATAAACTATTTAAGATTCTAGTGGCAACAAATAAAACATTACTCAATCAAGTAATCCGAACTTTTGATTGAATTGTTTATTTTAATTTTAATTTAAATAAGTATGTTCATTGAATCGTTGAAAAATAAACTCGTGCTTTTTACAATTCTTTTTGATTGCATGTCCACTTTTTTTGTAAGTGTTTCACACGCATAAAAATAGTGCAATATAAATAATTGCTTGTTTCTGTAAAAGCAAGTCTTGAATTATAAATTCCTTTATAGACAAGAAAACAATCTTGAAAGTTAATAAATTCCATAATTCAATTCTTCAGAAATATAACCACATCACAAATTCTATACTGATACAGGTTTATGCTTTTTTACAGATAATTATTAAATTTGATACAGGTTTATGCTTTTTTACAGATAATTATTAAATTTGATACAGGTTTATGCTTTTTTACAGATAATTATTAAAACTTTGTTTTAACACTCCTTGAGCTGAAATATGAAAGTTGATAATTTGCTGGCCATAAAAGTAGAAAATTAAGATTCATTAAAGCGATAAAATCATATTTTTTTATGTTTATATAATATATTAATATTAAGAAAGGACTAAATAAGACAGAAAATCAATTATAAAATCATGGCTATTTCCTGTATTAAAATCAACAATGCTGCATTCTATATTTATATCAGAACTAATAAAGAGTTAACATATTTTTTTATGTTTATACATATTATTTGAAGAAGCGGTTCTACGAATAAAATGATTGCGGGGGGGGGGGGGATTGAATCCTTAAAAAGTACCGACTGCTTCCTTAAAGAAAAAAAGAAAAAAGGTTCCTAAAACTAAAATTTACCCGACTGAATTGTGTCAAATACCAGACTAGTTGACTAAATTCGTAAAAAAAACCGACTATAATTTGAAAATCACCTTCTTGAAAGGGGTGGAACACACCCAGACACACCCATACCTACTAGGGCCGGCGCGAGTAGGTGTCACGTGGGGGAATAGGGTGGTGCCAAAACAACTTTTGCCGACCAAAAAAAATAAATATATATCCTCGTTTTTTAAAATTTGCCGACTGATATTATCTATAATTATAGCTGAGACCCTAGTCGGGCGAATATTTAAGGATATAGATCCTGTTTCAAAAATTGTTTCTTAAAACTTTTTAACTTTATGGTCATCGCTATAAAGAATGCTTAACGTTATAAATTCATGTTAAAGTCGTTTATTACAAAAAAAAATTTTTTCTGCCTCACTTGTTCTTCTGTTGTTATAAACCACCTGACGTTCACGCCTTCAGGTGATTTATAAAAACAGCTTCGAATAACTTTTTTTGTTTTTTCGAGTAAAAGTTTAATTGTTAAAACATTTTCATCGCCATCGGAGACGCTTAAATCATTTCTCATATTATAAAAGATATTTTTATGAACATAAGTTAGAAGCCTTTCACTCTGTTTGTATATTTTTCTTTCTGGTGAGAATTTTAAAATGAGAATTATTAAAATTATTGTCAAAATCGTTTAATGTAACCCACTTTTCAGTTAAACAAACGATGATAAATAGATATTTTGTTTCTCCTAAAAAGTTTAAAAGTTTTACAAAATTTATTTAAATATATTTTATATTGAGGCGGAGAATTCTAATTCGATTTGAACTTTTTTAATTGCATTCTGAAAAAGAAAACCTTTTAATTCTTTAGGATAAAAATAAGCACAATCCGCAAATGTATCGCAAAAAAAATTATCGCTTTTTTTCTGTTACTTTTTTTCTGTTATTAAACTTTGTGTTCAAATAAGTATGATCTTTTGTGCTTAGTTCAAAACCCTTTTTGATGTTGCTATGGTACAATAAGTTTTATTGTTGTATCATCGTTTTATCCTTATATTTTTATATTACTGGCGTGTTACTACTGGCGGTTTGCTATAACTTCTGTTTTTGATTTAATTTTAGTACTTTTTTAACATTCCCAGCAAAAATTGTTTTAGTTGATTTTCAGTGGACCTATATAGGCATTTTTTAGCGGTTTTTTGGAGTTTTGCTCATCGGTTACTTAGTGGACCATTAGTAGCAGCCGCAAGAAAAGGAGAGCTGATAACTTTCCGATTTGTTATAAGTGGCTAGTTATCGGTTAACCAATATTTGGCGGCTGCCACTAATGGTTCACTAAGTAACTGATGAGCAAAACTTCAGCTCAAAAAGGTCTGCTTAAAATGTCTTTATAGGTCCACTGAAACTCCACTATAGAATGTTTACTGACTTGTTAAGGCTACCCAGTTTTTTTTTCTAAATTCAACAATTTAATAAAAACTTGATAAAAGAATATTATTTGCTCAATTCGGACCAAACAAAAAAAGTGAGTATTTTTAAACACAAATCTTGTTTTGTTTCTTTTCTCTATTATTATTATTATTTTTTTTTTTACCTCCGTAATTACTCTACTATTAAAAGTTTTCAAATTTTAAGCATATATATATATATATATATATATATATATATATATATATATATATATATATATATATATATATATATATATATATATATATATATATATATATTATTCACACAACTATATTTATATATAAATAGTTATGTGAATGAAATAACATATTGCTCTAGTTTATTATTGTCTATATCGTAAGTTGTAGACCTGTTTAATATTTAAAAAACGTGATTTTTAAACGCCATTATGTTGTTTGTTTTTCCTATAGTGTATCTACCATTATCGATTATTATTCTTCCGACGCAAAAAATAGATATCAGAATGCGTTGCGTGAACTCGTCTGATAAAGAGGTCACTTTCTATTTAATTTTGCTTCAATTGTCTTTTTTACTATAAAATTACGTACTGTTTTGAATCAGACGCTTTGTTTGAGTGAAAAGAAATTTTTGAATTTACGTTAAGCAAATTACGTTACGCAAATGTGTCTTAATTAAAAACAAAAAGACAAATAAGTTTTAAATCATAAACTAAAAGAGTTATTTTATACAAAACCAAAAACCAAATAAAAAAACATGGAAGATGTAATCGTCATTTGAAAGTTTCAATGATTAAAGCTTTGAAAACTCAGTTTTTATTTTTTAAATAATTTATCCTTTTTTTTTACCTTTGATTTGAATTTCACCTGTCTTTAAAATTTTAATAAATTATGATCCCTCATAAAAAAAAAAAGAAACCTTTAGAAACTTTATGAAGATAATGAAATTAAGATATTACCCAATGAATCTTATCTGAAGTTACTTATAGCTTCTTATTGTGTTTTTTCTATTGATCGGTATTCCGAATAGAAATAAGATCTTTAAAGATCTAGAAATAAAATTTATAAAGATCTAAGAACAAAACGTAGGATTTATAAAGGAATAAGAAATAAGCATTAAGACCTCTGAAAATCTAGAAATATAAAACCCTAAAAAGATAATAAAAAAAGAAGTAACAAAAAGTTTAATCATTGCTATTATACCTGTTTAAAGAAAATGGCAAGATTGTATTTACTTAAGAGAAACACTGCTGATGAATTGCCTTTAACACCTGATAGTGACCCATCCACAACAATTACGTTTCAAGGGGTATTAAACAAGGAAGAATCATTGAAAAACAATGATATAAAAGGTAAATTTAACTTACTTTGTAGGTTTTTAATAATTTAGTTTATTTAAATCGTAAACTTTATCATTAGGATTTTATTTAAAGTTTACAGTAATATTGTATGTTTATGGTAATATTGTATGCTTACGGTAATATTGTATGCTTATGGTAATATTGTCAACATTATTGAAAATCTTTAGAAACAAACACAATTAATGAAGAGCATTTTAACCTGAGTATGATGCAATCAATTATTGCAGAATTTCGTGACCACCCAGATCGCTTACTTTCAAATCAAAACTTACAACTAATTTTAGAAAGCTTGGGCGAACCTACAGACTCCAATACAATACAGGAATGGATGAGGTTTTATGATCAAAACAATAAAGGAGGGATTGAACTAGCAGGCTTTTTGCAAATTGTTCTTGATCAAATTCTTCCTGTTGAAGATTCGGAGGTATGTGTATGTAAAAACTACTTTTAGTTAGAGGGAGAAGTCCATATATATTTAAACATTATTTTTTACTTATTCTTATAAATTAAATTAAATATACAATATAAATTGTCGCAAACCCCCGGGACGGTCCAGGTTAGAAAAGAGTTGTTGAGAAAAGATTTGAGTTTATTATTCTAAAAACTGCTTTTCCTTGGATTTCATAAAATTTATATTAAATTGTGCAGATTGGTAATGTCTAATCTTTCAAATCCGTGTGACCACTTAAAGATAAAAAAGTAAAACTACTTGGACTTATGACGAACTCTATGGCAAAATCTTCCTTATCTTATGTTTCTCCCTTATCTTATGCTTAATTGAATAACAATAAATTTTTATTTTTTATTAATAAAACTTTTAAAATATTTAGGAGGAAATTGAAGATGCTTTTAAAGTTTTCGATACAGATGATAGCGGCGAGATAAATTGCGATGCTTTAGAGTATATTCTAAAAACAAGAGGCAATTGTCTATCGACGGAAGAATTTGCTATACTCATGAGCAAAAACAACCCTAAAAAAGAAAAGTCATTTAAATGGAAAGAATTTTGTCAAAGGTTTGCCGAAGAAGTTTATCAAACAAATGCAAGTAATGCCCTCTCGTAACTTATGGACAGTCAAATAACTTTAAAAATTTTCAAACAATTTTTTGAATAAAGTGTAAAAGTGTAAAAAAAAATAAGTTAAAAAAAAATAAGTTTTAAACTTTTTATTTAAACAGAATTAAGGGCCGCAGAATTAAGAAAGGCTATTTTGAAGATGAATTGCAGTACGATATTTATTGTTATTGTATTAAAATATTACATTAATTGTAAATTAGGTACTGTTACTGTTTCTAAAAAAGTTAATGGAATAACAATAGTTATTGTTTCTGTTATTGTTTTCATTACAATTACAACAGTTCGAACTCTTAATTGTAAATTAGGTATTTTTATTGTTTCTAAAAAAGTTAATGTAATAAAAATAGTTATTGTTTCTGTTATTGTTTTCATTACAATTACAACAGTTCGAACTCTATACAAAACTTTACTTTGCAGAATTGGGGAATATATATTTGAGTATTACATACATACATACATACATACATACTCCGACTCCGATAGTAAAATTTCTTGGTATTGCACGTGCATGTACAAAACATTCAATTAACCTTATGTTCATACTAAACATCAAAGAATGTTTCATAAATTTGTCAAAAAAAAAATTCCAACTTACCGGGCAATATTTTTTAGAGAATTCAAAGAATTTTTCAAAAATTTTGCTTTATACATACATACATACATACATACATACATACTCAAAATCACTTCCAGATTGTTGATTTGAAACCTGTTTACATTTGTAATAAAATAAAAGTTACCCTTCTTACCCCCCCCCCCCCCCTTTTGGTGTTAAAACAACTTGTGTCGCGTTTTTTATCGCGGTAAAATTTTTTTGAAAAAACGAAAATCGAAAAAAAAATTGAACTCATATAAGCATACAATGCCATCTTGAGTCTAAACTTGGCATTAAAAGAATTTAGTTTTTGCATCAGATTAAAAAAATTGGTTTTTGCATCAGGTTTAAATTATTGGCATAAAATTGCCAATAATTTGAATCTGATGCAATTAGAAGACCATATGGTCTTGTTGTCGAGTACCGCTAAGAAGTGTTCGTGTTAAAATTTAAAAGATAATTACAAGATTAAAAAATAAAAATAAGTTAACAAAAGTAAGAAACTTAAAATACTCCATAATAAATACAAGATGCGTTATATCTATTATATATGTAAATTATAGTTGTTAATGATACACATATACTTTTTATAAGTTCATGTTTAAACAAATGGTAAAAATAAAGATCACAAAAAATATCAGAAGTATATTGTTAAATCATCGATTGTAAAAATGAGTTCTTTAAGCTTTTGTTTAAAAGAAAAGTAGTTACTTTGATTAATAAAATCCTCAGTAAAATTTTTTAAAACTATTTTATTCCATAAGAATGGTCCGCGATAATCAATACAAAATTTAAAAAAATTTGTTTGAAAAATGGGCTGCTTAATAAAATTATTATTGCGTAAAATGTATTTATTTTTATCTTTTGATGAATACAAATTATGGAAAGAAATCGGGGATGAATTGGTTTTACATTTAAACATAAAACAAAGAATATTAAAAATATTAATCTCATTATATTAAAAGCTTTCATTTCAAATAAAATAGGCTTGACATGAGTATAGCGGTCTTTAAAATATATAAGACGTGCTACATGCTTCTGCTGACAATAAAGAGCTTTTATTTGCACTACCCGAAGCAATGTTTGCATAGTTTATGTGGCAATGAATAAATGAGTGATATAATTGTACTAAAGTTTGTTTATTTAAGACATTTCTCGCTTTGTACAAAATTCCTGTACTTTTTGAAATTTTACTTGATAAGTTTTTAATGTGATTTTTCCATGTAAGACTTTCATCTAAACAAACGCCTAGAAAATTAGTTACTGTTACTTTTTTAATTTGTATATTGTCAATAACAAGTTGAGGCATGTTAATAGGCAGTTTATGTTTTTTGGAAAGAGGATGGAAAAAAATCCATTTAGTTTTATCAATGTAAAGGAATAGTTTGTTTGTCTTAAACCAGTCAGATATTTTGATTAACTCGATGTTCACGTTATGAAATAAAGTAGGAATGCTTTTGTGAGACATAAATAAATTAGTGTCATCAGCAAACATAATTGTTATTAAATTCGAGGCTTTGTATTAGTTATTTTTCCAAATTATACAAAAATTTTGAAGGTTTTTCTCCTTCTTGGATTAGTTTTTGCTTCGTGCGAATAGTTTTCAGTTTTAAACTATTATAGATCATTAATATAAATAAGGAAGAGAAGAGGTCCTAATATGGATCCTTGAGGAATTCCACATGTAATATTTAACAAATTTGATGAAAATGATTTATCAGCATAAACAAATTGTTTACGATTAGTTAAATAACTTTTCAACCATTTTAAAACATTGCCTATTATATCATAACATTCTAATTTTTTAATAAGAATTTTATGATCAATTGTATTAAACGCTACTAATTACCTAGGCTACTTCTCAACAAGGCACAACTACGCCGAGATTGATTTGAAAGTTAATCAACCAAGGTGAAAATACTGCACAATGTGCACTAGATGCAGTTTCCTCAGAAAAAAATTCTGAAGTCACACAAAAAAGCCCTGATGATGCTTTGGTTTTTTTATTGCTAAATGGTTTATTAAAAGATAAAGAGTTGCCATACCAAGAGACGCCATGAAGAGTTGCCATACTAAAAGACGTCATGAAGAGTTCAAGCACTGAAAGCAATGCCAACAATTGGTAAAACTTAAACAAGTTTAAAGATTAGTTGATTCCAAAATTAGTTGGCGGCCAAATAACATTTACCTTTTAAAACATTATAAAAATATAAGTACCAATGTGAAATCTCTTTGATCACACTGCGTTAGGATTTTAGATAAAAAGTCCAGTTATTGCAATGATGGCAGAAGACACCAATAACACTAAGCTTATTCTTTACTTCAAGTTTGGTTTTGATGGATGATGATTCAACATTTTTCATTAAAAATACTCTAATATTGAGATCTCAGGTGGTAGTACATTAATTGTGAGTTACATTATACCATTTCATATCAATAATGCCAATTGTACAGAAAGGATAGCGTGCCTCAACCTTTCACCAAATTCTTTACAGTCTTATTCGCCATTGCGAATTGTATATGAAAAGGAGTCAAAAAAGGTCATCAAAAATGAGTCTGTTAGGCTTCAGAAGGAACAAACATAATTTTTCTCATACATTTTGTCAAACATTTCAAAAGTGCAAGTCACTGAGTATTGATATTTAATAATTATTGACGGAAAAGTTCTCCAACAAATGGCAGGTTGTCCAGCATCAACATCATGCTCCAAATGCTATGAGCCTTGTAGAAAAATTGCCAAGCCTAATGGAGGTTTATTCCTGTGCAAGGAGCATTGGACTTTAGAGAATTAGTTTTGTATTTTGATTTGCAAGCATTTGGTAGTCTTTGTTATATTGGCTACCACCAAGATATAAAAAAATGTCGCAAGCATATGACACCTGCAGAAAAAGTGACCATTGCAACCACGCAAGAACGTGTAAAAGCTCAGTTTGCTAAAATATTAGGAATCATTGTTGATAAAAGAAGAGATGGTGGTGCTGGAACTACTTCTACTGGCAATGTTGCCAGAATTGGCAATGAAAACCCTGCAATTACAGTAGATATTTAAAACATCCCAGTTAACTTGTTGAAAAGCTTTCTACCATTTTAGGAGCACTGTCATGTGAATTTGTCATCAATTCAACAAGGTTTCCTGACTTTTGCAAAGAAACTGAAAGTATCATCAGGAGGTTGTCTGTGATTGGCATATTTTACCTTCAACACTTTATAAAATGATCAAGCACGTATAAGTTTTGATTGACAACTTCCCACTTCCGATTGGACTGACAAGTAAAGAGGCATCAGAAGCTAATAACAAGTTTCTAAGAAACTTTACTAACTACATCATACCAGGAAGGCTTCATGGGTTCAAGGCATGGCTGAGATTTTCTACAGGCTCACCAATTTGAGCAATCCAAAGGTTCAAGAATCTTGTGCTGCAAAACACCAAAAATTGAAAAAGACGAGGAAAATGGCAGCAAACGTTATTGATTTACTTGAGTGAGTTGAACCAACCGGGTTTATGTGATGATAGTGATTCTGATTAATTTTTTGAAATAAGAAATATTTTCTTAAAATATAGTTTTTGTGACAATATTTTAATTAATTCACATTTAAAGCATACTAATATTCTAAGCTACATTTGGAACGATTCTTTATAAAGTCATACAACCATTATTTAAGAAGAAGCTTGCTCTGTTTTAGGCCCCATTGATTTGAGCTTTATAAGCCAAGACGGTAAATCACGGATCCAAATTGGAACCACCGTTGCTAAATAACAAGCTCCTAAATTAATGAATATGAAATATCAAGTTTCTCTTCCTGATCATGATTGAGTCATCACCGCAAAGCACAAGGCCATTTTGTCTCTCTACGCAGGCATTGAAATTAAACCAGATGGGCTTGGTAAATCTGACGTTTTCTATTTCGGTCTCACTTATGTTACTGTTCGATCTAGAAAGCATTCATCATCGACAGCGTATGCTCACGGATTGTACTTTGAACAACTTTTGATTATACCAGAGTACGATTCCATTACAAAATACCCTTTGACCAAGTTAGTCGAGCCAGTGGTTTTTTTTAGTGTTGATTTGGCGGGATTGATTCTGCCTTATGATCATTATGGAACTCATCTAGGAATTCAAATTCGTTTTTAAATTCAACTCTTTATTAAAATACAAAACTTAAGGTATTAATTATATGCATTGCGACTTATGTCTAATGGATTCCAAACGATGTAACTATCTAATGGAGGGAAAAGAGAGGTCTTAATATTCCAAACGATGCAACTATTTTAGATGAATCGGACTGCCCTATTCCAATCATATTATGATTATGATAATATCAATTTATGATTATTTAAAAAGTTCTTGGTTGGAAAAAAAGCGAGACAAGTTTCCATGACACACTTTGATTAAATTTAATATATAGAATAAGAGTAATATAATTTTTTTTTTCAACGAGGACAAGAACAAACAACCGGAACAAACGTGGAAACAGCCAGTCAGCTACTGAACGATATTCAAACACATGAAAATGTAGTTTATGTGAAAAATTTCAATAAAAAATGTTTAAGATAAGAACGGATTTTGTGTTAAAAAATAAAAAGGAAGTGGGGTCCTAACTTAATGACATCCTTTTAATTTGAGGTATAGGAAAAAAGGGCAACCAGTGACAATGGGAGGGGGTAGGAGGTCAAAAATTGTCTAAAAAATGGTGGCTTTCTTTTTTAACGACCCATTTTTGGAGGCTGCCGCTAATGGCTCCCTCCTCCCGAAAAAGTTAACCCTTTCGCCTAAAGAATGTTACTTTGCAGCCCGGCAATAAGTTACCTAATCAAACCTTAAGCTCAATTGTTCTAGAAATATTTTAGTGACGTTACTTGATTACAGCGACTTTCATGAAATATTTAACGGCACAAACCATTTAGAAAGTAAATCTAAGTTTCTTTTTCTGAAGAAAGAAAAATCAAATTATCAGATTTTAGTTGGGCTTTAAACTTAAGTATTGTTAAAGGCTTCATTTTGATAGTTATCATCACAAAAATAGATGGCTTTTTCTAAGAAAATTTTAGTGTGCATTTTTTTAACGTGTTTTAAAGAATTAGTTTATTCATCTGAAGAGTTTTCGTATTTCGAAGATAAAGATGCTTCAGCGTATTTGCAATCAAATTATAGCATTACTAAAAAAACAAGATTTTTAATATATGACGTGAATCCAGGAGAAGGATTTAATCTTCGTCGTGATGTTTATACTCGAGTTGCGAATCTAGTTAAATCCCTAAATGATAAAGGGCAGGACTGGGTTCTTGTAGTTCCTCCTTGGATGCATCTTTACCATTGGAAGTCCAGATATATTTCACAACACGGAGTTCCATGGAGAGCATTTTTTGATCTTCCAAGTATGAACCTCTATGTGCCAGTGATAGAATTTACAGATTTTACAAAAGTTACTGGGTCTAAAAAGATTGAACATATTCTATACCTTCAAAGACATTCAGATAACTTTAAAAATGGTTTTAAGGATCTTGCTGAAATTGAAAGTTGTAAAGAACGTGAAATGTATCATAAAGATGGAAAGGGAAGATATCGTGGCTATTTTTGGGAAATAGATGGTGTCTTTGCTGAAAAGCATGACTGTTTAAGTGTGCAAGGTCATACCACTGCTATTGAAAATATTCTTAAAACCTTGAAAGCCAGGTAATTTTATTAAATTTTTTAAATTAAATTTTCATTTAATAGTGAAACCTTAGTGTTTTTTCTTTTTATTTGATAAAAAATGCTTCAAAAAATTTTTGCGTTACTATCTTTCTGAAAAGACATTTTCAGACAAAGGGTTTTTTGGTTGATCTTTAATATGATCATTTTTCTTTTACAGCTTTTTTTGAGGGTTTGCAGTGGCTAGCAAATTTCAACAAAAACAACATAAAACAATTTTTTACTATTTGTAGTTAGCACAATATTGTTGACATCTAAAAAATTGATTAATGCCAACACTGTTACTGAGTCCTTTATCTTATGTTCTCCAATTATTTTCTACTAATGCACTCTTAAAAACCATATATAATCTATTGCAAAGTTAGTATCTGCTTAGGTTACCTCTCTATATTCTATAAGATCATCTCTCCTAATATGATTATCTGCTTTTTTTAAAGAAGTTTCTTATTCTTGTTTTTATGAAACAATGTTGTCATATTTGAGCTGGTTCTTCCATTTAGACATAAGAAAGATCCTGTGATTATAGCTTTCAAGCTTTAACCCCTATACCATTGTACAGGGTGACAACCATAAGGTGAAACACATAAAGTAAGCTATATTTTCAAATTTAAGAGTTATATTTATTCGAAAGTGGTATCAATAGAAAGCTACAAGTGTATTTAACAAGTTTTATTGGTTTAATTTGAACCTGTCGCCCTCAGCTTTTATGCAGGCTCGACATCTCTTGAAAAAGTTTTCACACGCAGCACACACGGTTTCTTGTGGCATTTTGTCCCAAATGTCGATCAAAAGTTCCTTGAATTGGTCCAAAGTTGTTAATTTATGCTTCCCCAGTTCTTGTAGCATGTATCCCCAGACAAAGAAATCGAGGGGATTGAGGTCAGGACTCGAAGCAGGCCATTCTTTGGTATCGATAAAATCTGGGAAATTTTGCTTGCAGTAATCTTGAACAACAATAGCCTTGTGTGCAGGGGCAGAATCTTGCTGGAACACCCATGGATCATCACCATACATTTCTTTAGCCTGAGGTTCAATCAAATCTTTGATCACATTCTGTAAGTAGTATTCTTTGTTGATTTTCACCCCTCTATCGATAAATTTCAGAGGAAATTTCCCCTTTTTCGAGATGGCCCCGAATACCATGACCGCCAAAGCGTTCTGATAACGAGGGACAGTTCTAACGTTTAAAGGAACATCAGAGAGCTTTACAGCATAAACTCTGTCATTTTGTCTGTTCAACGGGCGTTCCAAAGTAAACATTTTCTCGTCCGAAAAAACAATATCTGCACCACCGTGCCGCTTCAATAGCGATTTGCAACGCTTGACTCTTTCCACCTTGTTTTTGTCAGTGAGGCCGGCAATTTTTTGTTTACGATAGCACTTAAGTCTTAAATCTTGTTTTATAACCTTTTGCATAGAGGTATATGACATGTTCAGCTCTTTTGCTAGCTGCCGACCTGAGCGAGCAGGATTTCTTCGTAAACGTTCTCTTACCACTTTGATGATTGCTGGAGTGCGCTTGACGCGCTTTCTTTTTCTAGTTTTAGCTGGAATTGTTTGCCCAGTAGTTTTGTAACGAGAAATTGTTAGACTAATCAATGATTTGCTGACTTTTATATCATTTAGGCGTCTCCAAATATCAGCTTGACTTAAATTTTTTTTGTGTAATGAAATTATCAGCTCCCTGATAGGATTTAGATCTGTATTTTTCATACAATCCCTCATTTTTTCTTCCTCAAATTTTTAAAACTTTTTCTAAACAAATGTCAAAACAAACTGTAAACAAGGGGAAAGTCATATGGTACGGGGTTAATAAATGATTGGGGTTCGAAAATGTGTTTCACCTTATGGTTGTCATCCTGTAAGGTTCCATTTCTCTTTCTTTTTTTACAATTAATAATGGTTGCTTTTCAAATTAGCTGTTGGTAATTCCATGTCAAATGACCCAGGTCATGTCACCATACATCTTTCCTGATTTTTATACAGTTGAGAGTGCTTAGTAAAATAAGAATTCTTTAAAATTTTTAGCCTCTAACTCCAAGAAGATCCTGAAATATGACCATTTTACTTTTAGCATATACTGGCCAGGCCCTTTTGTCCCTTTAGAATTGCAACATTTATTTAGAGGTTTCAAGTCATATAACTTTAAAAATATTTGATTTTTTTATTTAAAAACCTGTAACTAGCTATTTTAAGGGGTGACAAATCCAATAAAATGATCAGAAATGTAAAAAAATATTATTAAGTACCTGTAATTATCATTTTAAATAAGTTTAGGCAATTTCTTATATACCTGTTTTTAATGCTGATGAAACCCATGTGGCCTTAACGATATCAAAAAAAAATTATTACACGTTACCCTATATTCATTGATCTTTCAAAAAATATAAAGATTTTGATCTGCAAGTATGGATAACAATAACGCATGGATAGCAAATATGAATAACAGGACACAGTTCCCACTTTTAGTAGTGGAATATTGCAATTGGCTTTTCACTAACTTCCAGACTAGCTGGAGCTCTAAAAATTTTGGAATTTCTGTAGTGCCAATGAATGTGCATGTTAAAATTGTTTTCAGGGCCCAAAGACATTAAAGGGGATTGGGGAGACATCACAAGATCCCACAAAAAAAAGTGGGACAAGTGCCCCACTTTTTTGTTGTGGGATCTTGTGATATGTTTTTTACTATCTTCCAGACAAACTGGAGCTCTGAAACTTTCAACATTTGTGTAGTCCAGATGACCGCATGTTAAAATTGTTTCCAGGGCAGACGACCAGAAGGTCCATGGCCTGGGGCGCTGGGGCCATACTTCACTTTTTTTTCTTTTTTTTTAACTTTTTAATAAAGTAAAAATAATATTGTTTTCCAATATTTTTTTGGTTTGTACTTGTTCTGTTTTATTTAACTATTTACAAAATAAAATAAAAAGTTATAAAGTTTCAAGTTTGTTTTAAGATTGGCTTAGATGCGTCAATAGTCAAAGTATACATACGTCCAGTTCTTGTTGCAGGAACATCAATGGTACAAGTTATGTTGGTAATTGGAACCCAAAACTCATCTGCTCTAAATAATCAGAAAAGTTTGTTGAAAAAACCATGCGGGTGCATAAATATCACCATAATATCTTGCTCATACCAATCCAATCAAATGTATTATATTTACACAGAACAAACTCAAAAAATTTCAATGCATTAATGTTAATTTTTATTGTGTTAATGCTAATTTGCTGATTAGGTTAAATTCTTTGAATATTAGAAAAAGAAAACATTAAAATCTTCACTTTTTTGTTTAAAGCTAATAGTATCTATAGATTCTGATGATAGCTCCTAATTCCTGGAATTATTCTAGTTAGTTAAAAAGGTTTTTTCAGACTGTTATGCAATTCTGTCAGTCTTTCTTTTTCAATTTCGAAAAAAGTAAACCCTTACAAAAAAATTTCAAAATTAAAAATTATCATTACTTTATAGGATGACCCATACCTTTATAGCATGACCCTAGCCTTATGGACCCTCTGGTCATCTACCCTGAAAACAATTTTAACACATTTATCAGGACTACACAAATGCTTAAAGTTTCAGAGCTCCAATTTGTCTAAAAAGTAGTGAAAAATTTATCACAAGGTTCTTCTTCAAAAAAGTGGACCAATGACATAACCCCCTCCCCCGGTGTCTTGGGCCCTGAAAACAACTTTAACATGCATGTTCATTGGCACTACAGAAATGCCAAAAGTTTCCGAGCTTTAGCTAGTCTGGAAGTTAGTGAAAAGTCAATTGCAATATTCCACTACAAAAAAGTGGGGACAGTGCCCCATTATCCATATATAGAAATTCATATACTTGCAGGTCAAAATCTTTATTTTTTTTTAAAGATCAATGAGTATAGAATGATGTGTAACAAATTTTTTTTTGATATCATTGAGGCCACCTGGGTTTCTTGAGCATCAAAATCTGGTATATAAAAAATTGCCTAAAATTATTTCAATTGATAATTACAGGTCCTTCAAAATAATTTTTTACATTTCTGATCATTTCATTGGATTCGTCACCCCTGAAAATGGACTAATTTTACAAAGAAAAATATCAAAATTTTTACAAATACAAATTTTCAAAGAAAAATATCAAAATTTTTACAAATACAAATTTTCAAAGAAAAATATCAAAATTTTTACAAATACAAATTTTCAAAGAAAAATATCAAATTTTTTTAAAGTTTTGTGGCTTGAAACCTTTAAATAAATGTTGCAATTCTAAGGGGACAAGAGGGGCCTAGCTAGAATCTGCTAAAACTAAAATGTCATATTTCAGGATTTCTTGGAGCTAGAGGCTAAAATTTTCAAGGAATTCTTATTTTACTAAGCATTCTCAACTGCATAAAATTAGTAAAATCTGAGCTTTAGGGTGACATATTTATAATTTTTAAATTCAAAGAGTCAATTGACATGGAATTACCCTGTTATTACTTGTTCGGTCAACCAAAACTCAACTTTGTGTGACATCCAACAGTGCAACAAATTGTTTTTTTTTTTAATGAAAGTTGACGTTTGTATCTTTATTTAATGACAAACGTCTAATTTAAGAGATATATGTAATATAAGGAAGTAATAAATTTACTTCCTTATATTAAAGTAATATATATATATATATATATATATATATATATATATATATATATATATATATATATATATATATATATATATATATATATATATATATATATATATATATACCAGTAATAAGAGTAATTTTTTGGTAGACAGTGCATAATACGGATGACGTAATAAATTGGTTCCGCAATATTAAAGACAAACACAACTGCACTTTCATTCAGTTTGATATTGAAGAGTTCTACCCTTCTATCTCTAAAGAATTACTTCAAATTTCACTTAATCACGCCAAGCAATTTACAGAAATGTTGGCGTCTTGAATCTAATAACTTACTTTCTGATCATCAATATGAATTTCGATCTTCTTGTTCTACGGCTGATTTACTAACAGTATTAACCGATAGGTTTTATTGCGCATCAGGAAAAGGGGGAGAGGTTAAGGCCATTGCTTTTAACATTTCTAAAGCATTTGATAAAGTTTGGCATGCTAGTCTTCTCTATAAGCTTTCTTCTTACGGTGTATCTGGAAACATCTTTAAGATTATTGAATCCTTTTTTTCCAATCGTTGTATAAAAGTTGTCCTTGATGGACAGCACTCTTCTTATTCTGTAAACTCAGGGGTTCCTCAAGATTTAATCCTAGCCCTATACTCTTTTTAATTTACATTAATGATCTTCCAGATATTCTCACATCTAAGGCAGCATTGTTCGCTGATGATACTACCATTTATTCTTGTCACGATAAGAAGCCAACTCCCTCTGATTGTTTGCAGGGGGCATTTGAGCTTGAAAAGGATCTCACTTTTGCTACAGCATGGGGCTCACAGTGGCTGGTAAACTTTAATTAAGATAAAACTCATTTTTTTTCAGCCAATCATTATCGCAATAATTTAGACCTTCCTATATTTATGAACGGCAATGTACTTGATGAGTCATCTGCCCTTCATCTTCTAGGATTAACTCTTATTTCTGATCTTTCTTGGAAACCTTATATCAAATCCATTGCATAATTTGCATCTGCAAAGGTTGCATCTCTTTTTTGTGCTTAACACTTTCTTAATCTTATTATTTATCTATATAAACCTCAAATCTGTTTTTGTATGGAATACTGTTGCCATATCTGGGGTGGATCTTCTAACGATGCCCTTTCTCTTTTAGACAAGGTGCAAAAACGCATTGTAAACATAGTTAGACCTGCTTTTGCAGCTAACCTCTAACCATTAACTCATCGTCGTAATGTTGCTTCTCTTTCTCTTTTCTACAAATACTATAATGGGTACTGCTCTAAAGAGCTAGCGTCTCTTGTGCCATCTACTAAAATTCATTCTTGTGTTACTCGTTATTCAATAAAGTTTCATCTTTTTACTGTTACTGCTCCTAAGTGCTCCAAAAACTCTTATTCGTCTAGTTTCCCTTGAACATCAGTTCTTTGAAATTCACTTTCTTCATCTTGCTTTTCTGATTCATATAATTTGCAATCTTTTAAGTCGTCTATCAATCATTATCTTGCTCTACAATCTTCATCTTTTCTCTTCCAGTAACTTCCAACACTAATTAGTGGTTGCTTGCAGCCTTGTTGGGAGCGAAGATGTTTAAATATATATATATATATATATATATATATATATATATATATATATATATATATATATATATATATATATATATATATATATATATATATATATATATATATATATATATATATATATATATATACTCTTGCATGGTAGTTAAAAAGAGTTTCCCATAAACTGTAGTTTTTAAAGAGCGCGTTAATAAACCAGACCAGAAAAAGTTTAAAAACTTTAATTTTTTTTTTTTTTAAATGATAGACTGCCTGCCCAAACCAAACCCTCAGTCGATGTAGCAGCACTCCCTTGCGAGTCAGGCTATTTGTCAGTCGTTGTAGCAGCACTCCCTTGCGAGTCAGGCTATTTGTCAGTCGATGTAGCAGCACTCCCTTGCGAGTCAGGCTATAAGATAGTCGATGTAGCAACATTTACGCATGTTTTAAAAATGTTTTTTAATAAAACAAAAACAAAAACACTACTATTTAAAAAAAACTTTCTAGTCGTTATTATTGCGGTTTTTTAAAAAATTTTTAAAAAGCATTAAAATTTAATGTACTTCCGCATTAATTTAATTGCTTTGACATTTCGACGACAATCAAATACAGCTTAAGAGACGAGGTAATTAAAATTGTAGTCGAAAGAGACTTTTTTTACATTAAAAGACTCTTTCGACTACACTATAAGGATATATATATATATATATATATATATATATATATATATATATATATATATATATATATACAACCCTCAGAATTTTCCAATACCCATCTTAAGGTGTTTAAGATCGGCAATAATTTGCTGACTTCGTTTCTATGTTTTATGCAACCCCTTTGTATTAAATTTTTTTGATACCTTATACCGACCTCTAACATTTAGACGTCAGCAATTTATTGCGGACTTCATTTTTCCTAATTCTGAGGGTTAAAAAATGCTTAACACAATAGCCTTACGTGAATTTGGCGTCTCTCCTGTTGCGAGGGGCTTCAGTACATACATCAACTGACAAATCGCCTGACTCGCAGTGGAGTGCTGCTACATCGACTGAGGGTTTGGGATTTCTTCTTTTTTAAAAAAAACCGTATCGATTTAGATAAGTAAGAAATGTGAGCAAATGCTTACATTAATATGCTATATATATATATATATATATATATATATATATATATATATACATACGCACATAAATATTTATGCAGGGTTTGCATTAAAGAAAGTTGCCTAGGGTGTTTTTTAATTGAATGGAAATTTGTGAGCAAAAAAAATTTTCTATTTATAACATTAGCTGGTAATTTGAATGTGAGTTATTTAGGTTTCCATTTAAAAATTGGTTGTATTTAAAGTTATTGGTTTAAAATGAATACAAATTCGTTAATTTTTAAGCATTGTTCATTATTTTTGTATATATAGCAGGCTCTAAAATATATGTACTGAAGCCCCTGGCAGCAGGTTATTTCAGTGGCCTAGAAGATGTTGTCTAAACACACATTCATAGTTTTTCATCTTAGCCAATCAATGTTGATCAACCTTAAATAATCATCTTAACAATCTTTAAATAATTATTTTTAGCAATATATATATATATATATATATATATATATATATATATATATATATATATATATATACATATATATATACAGCCCTCCGAATCAGGAAATATAAGGTCAGCAATAATTTGCCGACATTAATCTGTGTGAGGTCGGCAGAAAAAATTTATAACAAAGGTTTGACCATATAACATGGAAACAAGGTCGGCGGTTTTTTGCCGACCTCAAATAATTTTAGGTCGGCAGTGCCAAATATTGACCATAATTCGGAGGGTTGTGTATATGTGTATATATATATATATATATATATATATATATATATATATATATATATATATATATATATACACACACATACGCAAGCACACACATACATATATAATCCTATTTTTTTAAACACAGATCTTTTCTAATTGAGCGTTTTGAAGCTTTGCTACATGTTAATTATGGATCTGTTGAATTTTGGAAGGTAAGTTTTAAAATATTTTTGATTAGAGTATGCAAAATTTGCAAAAAAAATGTATACGTATATGTTTTTCTATCTGAAGTCCATTCTCCTAATTGAGATCTCAATTTGTTACAAAATAATAGATAGCTTGCCAAGGTGAAAAAGTGGCATTTTAAACCTGTGGTAGAGTATAAATTTGATTCTTTCTCTTCAAAGTCCTGAAAGTGCTCTGTACTTTCATGAGAAAGTACTCTGTACTTTTAAGTGAAAGCAAGTAAAAGTAAGTATACTCTGCACTTTAGGTGTTAAAAAGTGCTCTGTACTTTTAGGTGAAAGTGCTCTGTACTTTTAGGAGAAAGTACTCTGTTCTTTCAGAAGAAAGTACTTTATACTTTCAGGAGAATGTACTCTGTACTTTCAGGAGAAAGTACTCTACTTTCAGGAGAAAGTACTTTTTCTCCCTACTGTTTTTTTAGATACTAATGTATAGTCTATTGTTGGGCCAGATTAACCATAAATATTATTTATTAACCTAATAAATGTACTATAACCTGAATTTTTTCAAAAAATCAATTTAGGTTTACAGAAAATGTTTTTAGTGTTTTATGGTTAAGGTAGAAAGTGCATTGGTAAAGCATCAAAATTTAATTATTTATTGTCAAATAATTTTATTCAATTTATTTTACAATAATTATTGTTGTGTATATTAATTTTTTTTTTTTTTTTTTTTTTTTGATGAATAAGTTTAAAAAATAATCATCATGTAACGTAAATTATTTTTTTATGTAAGTTTCTCAATTAATGTAATTGTTCTGACAACTTTGTCTACATTTTTTTAAGCCAAGAAGAAGTCTTGTTTTTGCTAAGCATTTACGTGTTCTTGGAGATGAATATCGTCAAAAGTTTTTAAACTCAAATGATAAAGCAGACAAAACAGTTTACGCAGAAGATTGGCGGGATCAGCATCCACAAGAGGGATCAGCTTTAGGTGGCCCATATATTGCTGTGCACATGAGGCGTGGTGATTTCTCTTACGCTAGAAAAGAAACAGTTCCAACTATAGAACAATATGCTCAAAATGCCGAAAATATGCTTAAAAAATATAAACTTAAAAATATTTATCTTTCTACAGATGCCACAGATGAAGGTAATTTATGAATGAGAATTATATTTGTTATTTTAAATATTAATAAAATTAAGAAAATATGATACAACTAAAGTCTTATAATCTATATATCTAGTCTTATATTTAAATATCTAAATTTTACATCTAGTCTTATAAAAAATAAAAATTTAAGGCTTTTTAAAACAATTTTAACATTTAAAATTTATAATGCATTATACATTAATTATACAATAATATATTAGTTATCAGCTGGATTTCTTTATATATTTTTCTTTTGGTAATTGGTTTTAATAGCAATTAAAGATAATATAAGATGAGGTTATTCAAAATTTTGTTCCACTACAAATTATTTTAATAAGTTCAACATCATTAAATTTGTTTTTAAATTCTATTCGCCTCCTCAAGGCCATAAAAATCACTACCATCGAGGAGGCTACTTTAGTTGTGGTTACAACCCTCTCTCAACCTTGACGAACAAGGCCACTGCTCGGAGAAACAAGTTGAGCGCGATACTACCAAGGACGTGGTGGGGATCGAACTCCGAACTTCTCGCTGATGAGGCGAGTGTTCTACCACTACACAACTACAGCATATCTTGCTTATTATCTTATAATGTACAGCTAAAAGTTAACATTATTGTATTTCTTTATTCTTTTTTTTTTTTTTTTTTTCATTAAAAAACTTACTTCATAGATAGGATAAAATCGGTCTTTAATCATTTGTATCTCATATTTTGAACTTATTAGATTTTTAAGTAAAAACCTAACTAATTTTTGAATAAAACTTATGTTATAAAATTAATATTTGACTAAAATTTTAAAGATATAAAATTAAATTTAAAATAAATTGCATTTTTTTTATTTAAAATAAATTTTTGATTAAAATAAATTGCGTATACATTTTTGATAAAAACTTTTAATTTTTTTATTTATATAAGTTGGTAAAAAAACAGTTTTGTTCATGTTTAAAGATAGATTACTAACTTAAATTTACTAAAATTTAATTTAAAAAAAAGTAATCATTGAGTAATTAAGCTAAAAAGAATTCTAAATATTTGAGCGTATTTTATCGCACCCAAATAATAATAAAATCACTTTATAGTTTAATTTATCGCTTCTTTAAAAATGTAGTAATTTATAGATATAAACCTTTCAAACTTTTAAAATTCTGATTCATACAAGTTGACTTATGCTTCACTTTGTCAGCAAGTTAGAAATTAACAATAGTTGATTCAAAATTAAATTTGATTTCTCTCTAGAGATAGAAGAGTTTAAATCTAATGTGTTTGGTAAAGTTTTTATTTACCCAAGACCTCGTGAGTTTATAGAAAAATACAAGGATGGAGGTGTTGCCATTATAGATCAATGGATTGCAGCACATGCTAGGTATGTTATTTTAATAATCAATTTTTTTAGGTATGTTATTTTAATAATGGTTTTGGTAAAAATTTAACTTTTCAACATAAATTAATGAAATTTGTAGCTAACACTGTTTTGTTGTAATACAGAAAAAAATGAATTTCAAATTATTATTTTTTAAATTTAACTTGATAAGTTCGCTTCAAAAAAAAATTATAATTTTTAAAATTTCCTCATGATTAAAATGAGTCATTTTTCATAAAATATTTAAGAAATAATCTTTAACTTTAGGTATTTTATTGGAACATGTTCATCGACATTTTCATTCCGGATTTATGAAGAAAGAGACATATTAGGTTTCAGCGGCGAGACCACGCATAATTGCTTTTGTGCTAAAGGTGTCAGTGACGATCGTTGTGAAAAACCGGGATCTTGGAGAGTTAAATTTTCATAGAAAAAAATATATTTTGAGGTGTTTATAAGGAATTTGATTAGCTAAAAAATTTTAATGACATTTAGAAATTAAAATCTAGGTGTAATTTGACCTTAATATTTTTTGGGCTTTTTATATATAAATATTTATTTATTTTATGCACATGTTTTTGGAAAGCACACGCGTATTATTTAATGTTTTTATTTGTATAAATTTTGTATTTTTAAAAAAAACTCGTTTTAACTTCCTAACGATGTTGTTAAAACTTTTTATATCAGTGTTGTCAAAATTGTTGTAACTCTTATTTGCAAAAAAGAAGATAAATCCTCCTTAATTGGATCTCAGCATTTCTTTCTAATATATACCAACAAGTTTTGGTCGAAAATTCACTGTCAAACCATCTAGCATTATTAATGTGAGAACAATGAAAATCAATTTTCATTGTTCTCACATGCTAATGCTGACGATATCAAAATATATAGCTCGTTTAGGGATACGGATCATAGTCACGACCCAGCTGTTTCCATCAACAAAGCTTTTCTTTGGTCGGAAAAATTGCCAGCATTAAGCGTTTTACATTTGAAATAGCACCTGGTTCATTTTTTAAACAAATTTCAATTATAAATTTGGAGTTCATAATTTAACTTTGTCTAAAAACCCAAAAGATCTTGGTATGACTATCGACTCTTTCCTAAATTACAAAAATCATGTTTTAAATTATAGTAAAGTGTTTTAAAAGTGATCCTCTTAAAAGTCTTTACTACTTACATAAGACTTATTTTTGAATATTCCTCTCCGGTCTGGTCACAACACTGAATTAATAAAAACAGTCGAAAAAGTCCAAAGATTGGTTTGAGTTATCGAGCGCAATATAAATCTTTTTATTTATTTTTTTTATTTTGATAACTATAAAAAATGTTTTAAAAAATGATTTTTTTTTTTTGAAGAAAGCAACATAGTTGCAATAAAATAAGCATCCAGTGTTAAAGCACCACAAGGAAATGATATTTTTAAGTTTTGGTAATCCGTGAACAAAAAAATTATAAACCAAATTAATTTTTTTTTTTTTTAAATTGACTTTTATATTTTGTGTTACCACCTCAAGTATATTAGTAGTCCAATGCTATGCTAGAAATTACCTATTTTTTGTTTGTTTGTTTACATTTGACGTAATATATATAAATTACATATTTTTCAAATACAAACAAGGCTTCTAAAAGAAGATCAAAATGATCTTATCGTCAGAAGCCTTTTACAAAAGAGAGTACAAAACATATTATAAAAACGCCTTTTTACAATGAAAGTACGTAAAAATCATGTAAAAACAATTAATCGTATTTGCATAAATGAAAATAAATTGTAAACAAGTATAAAACAAAACTTGAACATACATGACAATAAAGTTTATTATTATTTTGTTTTTTATCACAAGATAAATTAAAAATATTCTAAGATATTTTCAATAGAAAGGATGTGGTCTTTTAATTTATTTTTAAAAACAGGATAAGTTAGGGGTAAGTCGAAGTTAGGCAAAATAATTGTGTTCCAGAGATGAGCTGCACGATAAGGGATACAAAATTAATTGAATTTTGTTTGACAGAATGGTTTTAACATATAAATAGTTATTATTCCTCATGTTAAACTTGCTTAATGGTTTTAAAATAAAAAGATCTTTCAAAATTAAAGGAGATAAATCATGCTTCCACATATAGATAAAAGATAAAATTTTATATACGTTTAGTTTATATATATCTAGGATTTTCATTTGATTAAAAAATATTGAGGAATGTGCGAACCGATCCGCAGAATTAATTAAACGGATCGCATGTTTCTGACGGCGATAGAGACATTGCAATTTGCTTTGATCAGTGCTACCCTAGGCAATAACTCCATAACTTATATAACTGTGGATAAAAGAGTAATAAAGTTTAGTTAAATTATTTTTATCTAAATGAGTACGCGTCTTATATAAAATTCCGATACTTTTTGAAACTTTCGAGCAAACATTGTTAATATGATGTTTCCATGTTATGTTCTTGTCAATGAAAACCCCAAGGTATTTAGTTACAGAATCTCTTTTAATTTCAATATCGTCAATAAGAGTTTTTGGTAGATTTGGAGGTAGAAAACGTTTTTTGGAGAGCGGGTGGAAAAAAATCTTCTTTTGGTTATATTTAATGTCAATTTGCTACTTTTAAACTATTTAGATATGTTTTGAATTTCTTTGTTCATCATGGAGAAAAGTAGATAGATGTCACTGTTAGAGAGAAATAAGTTTGTGTTATCAGCAAACATAATAATTAGAAGATTTGATGCTTTATGCAAGTCGTTGATATATATTAGAAACAAAAGAAGGCCTAAGATGGAACCTTATCGGAACACCACAGGAAACATTTAAAAACTGTTTATGATTAAGTTCATTACAAGAAACAAATTGTTTTCTGTGCGATAAACAACTTTGAAATCATTTAATTACTCTTTCATTTATTCCGTAATAACTAAGTTTATAAAGCAAAATATCATGATCGACAGTATCAAAAGCTTTTGAAAGATCGATCAATCGATTTTACTGACTATCTAGAACCCTTGGATAATTACATTTGTTCAGATGAGTTATCTTCCGAATTAATGTTTGATGAGTTTGAAAGAGCCTTTAAATCTGTTTAAAAAAATAAAGCAATCGGAGCAAATCAAATTAATGGAAACGTGGTTTTAGATTGCTTTGAACAACTTAAAGTTGTTCTTTTTAAAATCTTTAGGGCTTCTATCCTTCAAGGAGTATTCCCAGAACAATTAAAAATTGCAAAAATTATTCCTATTTTTAAAGAAGGGGACAAATCTGAAATCAGTAATTATTGCCCTAATCAATTAGGTTTCAAGAAAAATAACTCAACTGAACATGCAATTATCCAATTTGTACGTGAAATCTCAAAATCATTCGAAAAATCACAATATACGCTAGGAATTTTTATTGGCTTATCAAAAGCTTTTGATACGGTCGATCACCATATATTTAATTTATAAACTCAAATACTACAGAATAAAAAACAAAACTTTAAAATGGTTTAAAAGTTATCTATCTAACAGAAAGCAATTTGTACCATTTAACAATGATTGCAAACCCTCTTTTCTTAATATAACCTGTGGAGTCCCACAAGGTTCAATTCTTGGACCTCTCCTTTTTTTAATTTTAGACTTAAATAAAACTTCAAAACTAACAAGCATTATGTATGCAGATGATACAAATTTATTCCTTTCTAACTACGATATCGATGAACTTTTTAAAACAGTGAACAAAGAACTCAGACATATATCTAATTGGTTCAAGTGTAATAAGTTAACTTTAAATACTAATAAAACAAAATGGGTTTTATTTTATTCGATTACAAAAAAGCGATTTCTCCCATCAAAATTACCTTAAATCTTTATCGATCAAAAGGAAATAAAAAGAGATTTTGTTACAAAATTTTTAGGTGTTTATCTTGATGAAAACATTATTTGGAATCACCATATTGATTATATAAGCAGAAAAATTTCTAAAAACATAGGCATCCTATATAAATCACGAATCTATCTCAATAAGAAAGTCTTAATCCAACTTTATTATTCATTTATACATAGTTATTTAAATTATGCCAATATTGCTTGGGGAAGTAAGAAAAAAATAAGTTGCAACGTCTTTATCTCCGTCAGAAACGCGCAATCCGTATAATCAATTTTGCAAATCGCTTCTCTCATTCGAAGCTTTATTATATTGAAATGAGAATTCTGAATATTTACGAGTTAAAGGTATTTAATATTTTATGTTTTGTGTATATGTGGATAAATAACTTATCCCTAGCCGTCTTCAAAGATCTTTTCTCTTTTAAATCTGTCAGTAAATATATTTTAAGAAATAATAACTTTTTAAATGAGCCTTTCTGTCAAACAAACTTTAATCAATTTTGTATTACCTATCGAGCGCCACACCTTTGGAATAAAATTGTTTTGGCGAATTTTAATTTTAAAGTACTTATTACTTTTTGCCTTTTTAAAAAAAAACTAAAAAACCTCATTTTTTCATTAGATAATATATTGAGTTATTATTAGTAAAAGTTAAATATATATATTTAAATATTAGTAAAAGTTAAATATATATATATTAGTAAAAGTTAAATATATATATATATATATATTTGTTTATAGAAGTTTTATGTTTATAGAAGTTTATTCTTACTTATTTTATTTATTGTTCTTATACATTTATTGTTCTTATACATTTACTTTTTAATTGACAACGATTAACAAATGTAAACCAAAAAAAAAAAAAAAAAAAAAAAGTTCCTAATGTAAATTGAGATTTTTCAAAAAGAATTGGAAATTTCACGCACCAACTGAATAATTGCATGCTCAGTTGAGTTATTCTTTTTAAAGCCAAACTGATTATTGTATAATAAATTATTTAAACTAAAATAATTAAATACTCTATTGAACATGATTCTTTCTAGTATTTTTGAAAATATAGATAAGATAGAAATAGGCCGGTAATTCCTTTTTTTTTTTTTTTTTTTTACAACACAAGTATCCGTATATATTTCAATAAAACAAAATTACATATTTTTACATATAAGTACAAAACGTGCAATTAAACAATTTTTGTACCATTAAAATTTTTACAAGACAAAAGAAATTTAAAATTCTGATTAGCGCATGCGCGTTGTACAATGTACAAAATAAGGTAACTATTCGTTGTTTTCGTTGTTTATAATATAAAGTGCTGGCTGTTAACCCATGCATTTAAAAAAAATATGCAAGTCCGTCGTACCACAGGGCTACTAGGTAGATGTTGTTGAATATATATATATAAAATTATTCTTAAAAAATATTTTTCTTTGTTGTAAGGAAACTCGCAGAAGACTAAAATAGTCTTTTCATCGAGAACCTTTAAAACATAAAATAAACTTTAATGAACTAATTCAACAAATAGACATAAGTATTTTGGTATCTACTATATAGTAGAAGTAGTAGGGCTTTTACTTATATCAGATTTGTCACCACCTTTGAAAAGTGGAATGACTTTAGCAATTTTCAATTAATCAGGACAGACTCCTTGTTCTATTGATGATTTAAAGACTTTAAAAAGAATATATTTTATTTGTTCAAAACAATCTAAAACTATGTTACCATTGATTTAATCCGGTCAAACTGCTTTATTTTTTTTAGTGTTTTGAAGGCTTTTTCGAACTCATCATATAATAACTCTTTAGATAAATCATCCGAGTGAATGCAATTATCCATCGGTACTAAGAAATCTTTAAATGAGGCTTCTGTATAAGGAATTAATTTAGATAGTTAAGAGCCAATTTCATCAAAAAAATTTATTAATTATATTGTTATTATCCACTTTGATCATGTGTGGCAGGGAACCTGAGCATGATTTTGATTTACCGGTAATTTCTTTTATTATTTCCCAAGAGGGAATATTATTTCAAAAATCGCTTAAGCCTTTGAGCCGATAAGACGTGTTTTTGTTTGAGCGTAAGTTTTCAGAAATTTTAAATTTTTTTTTTTTTTTTTTTCCGTATTCTTTATCTTTCTTTTTTACTTATTTTTCTAACTTTTTCTAACCACTACTTCTTTTTCTACTTATTGCTTTATCTAATTAGCTTATTAATTACTTTTCTACTTAAAATTATAGTAATATATTAACTATTCGTGTCTATAATACAGTTTTTTGTTGTACTTCGCATACCTAAATTAAATATAATTCTTATATTTTATACCTATACTTATATTTTATTATATATATCTTTATATCTTTATTTATATATTACTATTATAAAAATAGTTATAACTGAGATTTTTTTTTATGCTTCAGTTCGCTTAATTTTTTTTTTTTTTACAGAGTTTATAAAAAGTTTTTTTTTTTTTTTTTTTTTTTTTTTTTTTTTTTTTTCTTTTTCTTCGCCAAAAGTTGCGTTTGCACCTGTTCTTTGTTTTTAGTTTTTTGAACAATAAGCTAAATTTTTGCGCTCTGACACAAACTATATTAGTAAATTATATATCCATATATTATATATAAAATACATATAAAAAAGTTATATATAAACATATACAAATAATATAAAGAAATTAAATATATACAAATAAATATGATAACACGGAAAAAAACACATACTGAATCTTTTTAGTCCCTGTGTAATAAGTTATTTGTCATAATTGTAACAAATAAATTTGCAATAATTGTAACAAATAAATAAACATAAAAACATCACTGATATAAAAAAAAAAAATTCATCTGTGATGACTAATTTAACACCAGCTCAATTAAAGCAAGTCGAGGACGCAATTAAAAAACTTATTCATGCTGAAACTGCGAAATGGTCGGCCAAAATATCTGAACTAGAACAAGTAATAAAGCAACAACAATTAATAATAGATAAGCTAATCCAAAATCCTAATGAGCTAACTAATACCACAACCAGTAGTATCGAATCCAGCTGGGTTACAGTTGCAAGCAAAAACATAAAAAAAAAAGCAGCCTATTGAACAACTAAAAATTATCAACACATTTGCCATTGAGCAACAGCAAAAAAAGAAGCGTGAAAAAAATGTTATTATTTATGGCATTAAAGAATCTGCAAAGTTATCAGTTGCTGATAAGCATATCGACGATAAGGAAACGGTTCAGAATATCTTAGTTACTATTTCATCTGATGCAAAACCAAAATCTGTCAAACGTATTAAATCTACGTCCTCTAAACCAGGACCAATTATCGTCGAACTTTCTGATGTCTCCGAAAGAAACCCATTATTAACAGCAGCAAAAAAATTGAAAAATTCAGATAATTATAAAAATATTTTTATAAGCCCAGATTTGACTGAGGCTGAAAGATATTTAAACTATCAGTTAAGAATGAAGCGTAATGAATTAAATAGTAATATCAATTTAAAAACATCGCCCTTTAGATACGGTATACGAAGCAGCGGAGTCGTCAAACTCAAAAATATACAAACCACTACATAAACATTACTACCCTTCTTCCACTCTTTTACCAGCAAACTTAAAATACAAAAGTAAAAATCTTCATAACAAAAAAACAAACTATAGCGTTAATTGTTATTATACTAATGCTACATCTCTCGATAATAAAATGGCCGATTTAATTTCAATATCTAGAACGTTTGATTATCACGTTATTGCTATCTCTGAAACATGGTTTCGAAATGACTCAGTACCTAATATCGATGGGTATAGCCTATATCGTAAAGATCGTCAAGACGGACGTCGAGGTGGCGGTGTAGCTATCTACATTACAGACGTATTTAACTCTCATGAAGTTAACCAATTTTATACAAATCTTCTCGAACAAGTCTGGGTATCTGTAAAATTTAACAACAAACATATACTTATCGGTTGTATATACAGACCAAATGATGCCAGTTTAATAAAATATGTCGCTGAATCCTTCAAATTAGCTCATAGTTTAATTAAAAAGCCCTATGATGACTGTTTGATTGTCGGTGACTTTAACTTCCCGAATATAAAGTGGTCTAACGATGGTATTGAATCTTTTAACCCAAACAATCCTACCGAGTATGATTTCTGGAATATTTTCCAAAACAGCCTTTTTACTCAACATATCACATTTCCTACTTTCCAGACTGATTATGGTTCCTCAAATAATATGTTGGACTTGTTATTTACCTACAACAGTAATTCTATTTTAAACTTGTCTCCTAGTACTATACTAGGTAACACCACTAAGGGTCATTTTAGTATCACTTGGAGATTCTTAGTTTCAGAACTGTTTACCGAAAGTGAATCTCAATCGTTTAATTACAAAAAAGGTGATTACGATTCAATATCTAACTTTATTGCATCAATCGACTGGGAGTTTTTATTCCTGCATAAAACTGCAGATCAAATGTTCAATATACTAATTTCTAACTATCGCACTGCTTGCACATATTTTATTCCCAAGATTAATAAAACAAAAAAAAAGTATGATCCTTGGGTTACCCCACATATTAAAAACCTGATCCGAGAAAAAAAATTCGCTTGGCATATAAACTGCTCTACCAAATGGGAGAATAGTGAGCTTAAAATAAAATACAATCGCCTTAATCGTTCAGTAAAAACTGAAATATTTAAAGCAAAAAAAGCACATGAAAAAGAAATAATATCAAAATCCCAAAACAACCCAAAAATCGTTTACAAATATATCAACAAACAACTAAAAATTAAAGATAGAATTCGCTCTCTCAAAGATACTTCAGGCAGAATTATTGAAGCTCTTCCTGATATAGTTGATCTTCTGAACTCTCAATTTAAATCTATGTTTACACTTGAAAGCTCTGAAAATTTTCCTTTGCTAAATAAAAGTGGTATTCTTTCTGAATGCATTTATAATGAAAACTTGGGTTTCTCTATCTCAGATATTATTCAGGAACTTGCCGATCTAAAGCCTTATAAATCCTTCGGATCTGACGGCTTGCATCCCTTAATACTCAAGGTATGTGCCAAAAGCTTTGCAATTCCATTAACAAAAATCTTTCATAAATCCTTTAATTCTGGAGTAGTACCCACTCAATGGAAATTAGCAAATATTAGTCCGATCTATAAAAAAAAGGGAGATAAATTACTTGCTGAAAACTATAGACTTATTTCACTAACATCTGTTGCCTGTAAAATCTTTGAAAAACTTGTAAAGAAAAAAAATTTAAAGCACATTAACGATAATAAAATGCTCTCTGCAAATCAACATGGCTTCCTTTATCATAAATCATGCGTAACTAACCTAATAGAAACTTTTGATATCATTTCGTCCTCCATAGCATCTCACCAATTTATTGATGTAATCTATCTTGACTTTGCCAAAGCGTTTGACTCTGTACCTCACAACAGACTTTTGTTAAAATTAAGATCTTTCGGAATAAACGGCAAACTCCTACAATGGATTAAATCTTTTTTAGTGGGCAGAAAGCAACGCGTTACAATTAACAATACCAGCTCTGCATGGGTTGATGTTCTCAGTGGTGTTCCTCAAGGTTCTGTTCTCGGCCCGCTCCTCTTCATTCTCTACACAAATGATCTCGCAAAACTCACTGAAACTTCTGAGATATTTGCCGATGATACTAAACTTTTTTCTAAAACCTTATCGCAATCTAATTTTGTTGATCTGCAGGATCGTCTACGCTTGGTATACGAGTGGTCAAACACTTGGTTACTTAAGCTAAACACTTCAAAATGCTGCGTCATTCATTACGGTCGAAACAACCCCCATTACAATTACTTTCTTCAAAATAACCAAGGAATCAACCAATCTCTAAGAAGCTCTACTAAAGAACGTGATTTAGGAGTCATTTTTACATCTAACCTCTAGTGGAGCGCTCATATTCAAACAGTTGTCTCTAAGTCCTTACAAATTCTCGGTATGCTGAAAAAGACATTCACTTTCATTGATGAAAAAATGGCTCTCAAATTATATAAAGTATTTATAAGACCACATCTTGAATATGGAGTGTCCATTTGGGCTCCTTTTTTAAAAGCTGATATGGCTTTGGTTGAATCTGTTCAACGCAAAGCTACAAAATGGGCTTACAGCTTGAGGCATCTTCAATACTGCGAAAGGCTAAAAAGATTAAACCTACCATCACTTGAGTTTCGACGCCTTCGATGCGATTTAATCCAAATTTTTAAATTAATACATCGTTTTGATATAGTTAATGATAAATATCTACCAAAATATATTAACTCTGTGTCTCGTGGTCACCATTCTAAAATAAGGCGTGAGTATGCTCTAAACTGTCTTCCAAGATATAATCATTTGTATAATAGATCAGCAAAATACTGTAACAATCTACCAGAGCAAATAACTTTGTACTCCACTGTACTTTCTTTCAAAAATAGACTAGACTTCTGGTTGTGGAAAAAGTTTGGAACAAATATTTATAAAACTGGTTGTTTATAGTGGGGTGTTTCCCCTGCTCGCTGTATGTGTACATTCTATGTAAATTTACGGCTACAACTATAATAATAATAATAATAATAATAAGAGCGTTTATAATTATTTTTTGCTTTATTGAGTATTCTAGAATAGTAATATTTTTTTAAGTTTTTTCGAATTTTTTCAAAAAGTTTTTTGTAATCTTTGTATCTTTTCTCATTGGCGAGTGATTTGTTTTTTAGATATTTTATGTATAATTTCTGCTTAACTTTTGATGATTTTTTTAAACCTTTGGTAACCCAGGGAGAATTAATGTTTTTTTGATTTATTGTTTTTTCATATAAAGGAAAGTTAGCATCATAAACAGAGTAAAATGTATTAAAGAAATTATCGTAAATGTTATTTGCATTATCAGTAAAGTCGATGTTCTTCCAATGGAGCAATGATAATTGTATTTTAAATTGCTCAACGTTTTTTTGATTACAGCTACGTAATCTAACTTTTATGTTTGTTTTAGTCATTATTTTAGAGTTGAAGTTAATGGTAAAAAAGATAGGGAAACGATCAGATATGTCTGTTTAAATATAATGTCCGTAGAGTAGTGGAAGCAATTCATATTGAAATCCCCTACAATAAAATTCTTTTTTTATTCAAAGAAGCCTTTTTTGAAAAGGTTTTCCTGAAAATACATGTTCATGTTCTCAGCCACACCGTTCGGAGGCCTACAGCAACAGCTCAGTAAAATATTTTTCGATTGATTGTTAAGAATTTCAATAGTTAAAATTTCTTTGTCGCCGTCAGAAATACTTAAATCATTCCTAACATAAAGAGCAATACTTTTCTTTACATAAATAAGAACTCCTCCACCGCGTTTAATGATAAGCCTCTCTTGAGAAATTAACTCAAAGTAAGGAAGATTAAAATTTGAAGTAGTATTTAAATCATTTTAGTTAACCAACTTTCAGTTAAACAAATTATATTTAAAAAATTGTTGGTTTCTTGTAACAAATTTAGAAGATTTTCGAAATTGCGGTTTAAGAATTCTTAGTTGATCAAAATTATTGTTTTTTGTATTTTTATAAGAAAACTCTTCTAATAATATTAGAAGTTAGGATAATATTATGAACAATCCGTAATAATGTCATTGAAGTAATTAATATCTGGATCTAAGTTTTCATCAGATGAGAAAAGTCTCATTTCTTAAAAATTAAAAGTAAACGATTTAAAGTTGTTTGTTTAAAACATTTTGATTAAAT